ATATACATATATATATATATATATGTACATATACGTATATATATATATATACACAAACATATATATATACAAACATATATATATATATATATATATATATACATATACATATATATATACATACAAACACACACACACACACACACACACACACACACACATATATATATATATATATATATATATATATACACATATATTCCCTATCCAAGTTTCAAGAATAACAAATAATAACCTGACTTTTAGTCGATCATTTGGTATCAGAAATGACTTATATGAAAGGCAAAGGCTTCTAGATTATGCTTATTTTACCAAAATAAAATAAGATCATGTCTTATTTTTTTAGCATTTAATTAGGACAGTAAGGTCTGACTTTTAGACAAAAGTCTTGTCACTTAACAGAAATAATGTCCAGTATAGAATATAAAGTCATGCTGCAGTGGGAACAGAATGAATGTTGTGTCTGACTCCATCATGAGCTTGGAGGACTGCATCCATACATCTCTGCAATGACTCAAATCACTGATTAATAAAGTCATCTGGAATGGCAAAGAAAGCGCTCTTGCAGGACTCCCAGAGTTCATTAAGATTTTTTGGATTCATCTTCAATGCCTCCTCCATCTTGCCCCAGACATGCTCAATAATGTTCATGTCTGGTGACTGGGCTGGCCAATCCTGGAGCACCTTGACCTTCTTTGCTTTCAGGAACTTTGATGTGGAGGCTGAAGCATGAGAAGGAGCGCTATCCTGCTGGAGAATTTGCCCTCTCCTGTGGTTTGTAATGGAATGGGCAGCACAAATGTCTTGATACCTCAGGCTGTTGATGTTGCCATCCACTCTGCAGATCCTTCGCACCCCCTAGGGCTGTGCAATTAATCGAAAATCCAATTTCGATTTCGATTATGGCATCTAACGATTATGAAAAACCATTAATCGAGATAAACGATTATTGCATCATATACCAAAAGCGGTCAGCATTCTTAAATCACAGTTTTTTTTATATTTTTATTCTATTATTATATATATACACAGTTGAAGTCAGAATTATTAGCCCTCCAGAATATTAGCAACCCTTTTCTGTTTAATGGAAATAAGTTTTTTTTTTAACTTATTTCTGAACATAATAGTTTTGATATATCATGTCTAATTACTGATTTGTTTTATCTTTGCTATGATGACAGTACATAAAATTTTACTAGATGTTTTTCAAAATACAAGCATTCAAATTGAAGTGCAATTCAAAGGCTTAACTAGGGTAATTAGAAAAGTCATTGTATAACAGTAGTTTCTTCTGCAGACAATCAAAAATATATTGCTTAAGGGGCTAATAATATTGACCTTAAAATGGGTTTCAAAATATTTAAACCTTTTATTCCAGCTAAAATAAAACAAAAAAGACTTTCTCTAGAAGAAAAAAAATATTAGAGGAAATACTGTTAAAATTCCTTGCTCTGTTTAACATAATTTGGGAAATAGTTATTTAAAAAAAACAAAATCCTCAGGAGCGCTTATAATTTTGACTTCAACTGATAATCGTTTAGAATAATCGCGATTACAATTATGACCAAAATAATCGTGATTATGATTTTTTCCAAAATCAAGCAGCCCTAGCACTGAATGTAACCCCAAACCATGATTTGTACTTCACCAAACTTGACTGATTTTTGTGAGAATCTTGGGACCATGCCGGTTCCAGTAGGTCATCTGTAGTATTTGTGATGATTGGGATGCAGTTTATCAGATGATTCATCGGAAAAATCAACCTTCTGCCACTTTCCCAAATGATCAACTAGAATTTTGCACCATACATTGTACAGATGACAAACAATGCACATTTTGATGCATATTTTAACACATTCCATTGACAATTTGCATATATTAATTTAATGATTAATTAAACTAATATATTAATTTTCCAATAATTCATGGTTTTCTATTGCAATTTCAATGCAACGTTTCACTGAAAATTGCAACAAAATAAGCTGCATAATAATAAATTATACACTTTAAGAAACGCTGGGTTGTTTAAACCCAAATTGGGTAAAATACAGGTGCTGGTCTTATAATTGGAATGTCTTTACAATCATGATTTATTTTACTAATTCTATTCAACAAGTGAAGCTTTTATAATGTATACATTCATTATATATGCTGACTGATAGATTTCAAATGCTTATTTCTTTTAATTTTGATGACAACTAACGAAATCCCCAAATTCAGTATCTCAGAAAATCACAATATAACTGAAGACCTAAACAAAGAGAAATTTTGGCCAACTGAAAATAATGAACACATATTTAGAAACAACAAATGATGTGTGTGCCATTTCTTGTTTAGTTCCTCGAAAATACGCCACTGCCAAGCATCTTTTTATAGACGACCAAACTTAAGGAAGTCTGCCGATTTGTTGCTTTCGATTATGAACTCCAGCCAATCAGCTATTCCAGAATCCAAAACAGCAAAACAGTTTTAAACATATTTAAATATTTCTAAGATTTCTGCCTGTATGTTATGTACATCAATTGAATTTTGGTTTGCATTTTCAATTCAATTGTGTAACTCATAAAGGGTTCAAAGTAGCATGTAAAAATAGAACCATTTATTTTTTAGCAAAACATTGCATTGAATTAGGGCTGGGCGATTTGGCCTAAATCAAAATCTCGATTAACTGAACATTTTAACTTGATTATGATTAATAAATGATTATTTTATTTATTTATTTATTTAACATGTTTTGCACAGTAAATATGCTCACATATTAAAAGTGAGAGATTTTTTAATAAGGGGAAAAAAATGTAATTCTAAAAATTTATTCTTAAAAAATAATTTAAGAAAACATGCACGTATCTACTATCTATGAAGAAGATTTCTGAACACAATAGTTTTAATAACTCATTTCTAATTACCATTTCTTTTATCTTTGCTATGATGACGGTACATAATATTTGACTAGATATTTTTCAAAATACAAGCAAAGGCTATTCGTTGTATAACAGTAGTTTCTTCTGCAGACAATCAAAAAAATATATTGCTTAAGGGCGCTAACAATATTGACCTTATAATGGGTTTCAAAATATTTAAACCTGCTTTTATTCTAGCCAAAATGAAACAAATACGCCTAGAAGAAAAAATATTATAGGAAATACTGTTAAAATTCCTTGCTCAGTTAAACATGATACTGATAATCATTTAGAATAATCGTAATTACAATTATGACTAAAATAATTGTGATTGTGATTTTTCCCAAAATCGAGCAGCCCTAATGGACAGTGTTTTTTTTTTTTGTGTGTTGGAGAAAACACATAAACAGCTTATGCACACAACTACAGCAGAGGCTTTATTTTTTAAAAAGGCTGAGATTGTATGGGGTGGGTAGCAATAGCTGACTTTTTTTTTTTACTGAGCTATGTTTGAGTCTTATTCGCTATGGAATCACAGTCTGGTTTGGGAAACTGTCTGTTCAACTAAAAAATAAATTGGTTCATATTCAAAAAACAACCATGAAAATTATAGGAATAAAACAATAAGAGCCCACACAGATTCTATATGAACAGCCGGTTATAAGAAGAGCAATATATTTTAGTGCTGACTTCAAGCATCCTCTTTTCAGTGAATATCAGCTGTTACCATCAGGAAAAAAAACTGAGAATGCCAATGTGTAACACCAATAGACTGAAGCTTTCGTTTGTTCCTACCTCGATACAACTGTTGAACTCTACCAATAACACTGCTCTGGTAGTATGTTAGTGCTTGACTGGGTTCTGTGTTTTATATATTTATATTTGATATGGTCTTATTTTGTACACAATGAATGTTCTTAATTGTTTGTTCTTAATTGTTTTGTTTCATTTGTTTTTACTGTCTCTTTAGAGCAATGTTGTAGCCCCTTTTTGACTGTCGGGGACAAGATTATCCTATCCTATCCTATCCTATCCTATCCTATCCTATGTTTTACTAAAAATGAAACCTGATTGCACCAAACTTTGGACATGAAGAATGCAAATTTAAAAACATAAACATATTCCATTTCCTTTTTCACATATTACATTTCAAATTTTATTTAGTTACTCATATTTCCTGTTAAACAAACCATTTTCCTTGAAAATAGCAGGTTCAATTACAAAACAGGTGAACAGTGTTTTAAGCTGATTTGAATATGAAAATACAGAACAGGAAACAACAAATGAGATGTGTGCCATCCATCGCTCATTTAGTTCCTCGAAAATACGCCACTGCCAAGCATCTTTTTATAGACAGATATGTTGCTTTCGATTATAAACATCAGCCAATCAGCTATTCCACAATCCAGCAAAGTGCCAGCAAAGAACATTTAAATTATATTATTGCTACTACTACTTCATGCAAATTCACTTTTCAATTTAAATATGCAAATTATAAAGAGTTCAAATTAGCATGCAAATTTCATTCATTCATTCATTTTCTTGTCGGTTTAGTCCTTTATTAATCAAGGGTTGCCACAGCGGAATGAACCGCCAACTTATCCAGCATGTTTTTTTAAGCTCTCATCTCTGGGAAACATCCACACACCGTCATACTCTACGGAATATTT